GTATGATATTCTTGATGTCATCCCACAATTCCTCTGGTTTTCAGTCATTGGCGTTCAATGCATCAAATTTATTCTTTAAATGGTCTCTAAATTCAGGAGGGATATTATGAAGGTCATATTTTGGCTCTTGTGCACTTGTTTTAATTGTCTTCAACTTCAACATGCACATGAGAAATTGATAGTATATTCCACAGTCAGCTCCTGGCTTTGTTTTGGCTGAAGATACTGAAATTCTCCATTACCACAGATGTGGTCAATCTGATTCCTGTGTATTCCATCTAGTGAAGTCCATATATATAGCCATCGCTTATGTTGTTGAAAAAGGTATTTGCAATGAGTAAGTCATTGATCTTGCAAAAATCTGTCATGCTATCTCCAGCATTATTTCTGTCACCAAGGCCATTCTTCCAACTGCCGATAACTCTTCTTTGTTTCCAACTTTTGCATTCCAATAACCAGTTATAATCAACACATCTTGATTGCATGTTCAGTAAATTTCAGACTCAGAATTTGTAGTAATCTTCAATTTCCTCATCTTTGGCTTTGGTGGTTGGTACATAGATTTTAATAATAGTAGTATTAACTGGTCTTCCTTGTAGGTGTATAGATATTATCCTATCCCTGACAGCATTGTACTTCAGGACAGATCTTTAAACAGTCTTTGTGATGATGAATGCCACACCATTCTTCTTCAATTTGTCATTCTTAGCATAGTAGATCATTTGGTTGTCTGATTCAAAATGGTCATAACTAGTCCATTTTAGCTCACTAATGCCTAGGACCTCAATCTTTGTGTTCCATTTCATTTTGACAACTTTCAATTTTCCTAGATTCATACTTCATACATCCCATGTTCTGATTATTAATGGACATTTGCATCTGTTTCTACTCATTTTGAGTCCTTTCACATAAGCTACTGGAGGTCCTGAAAGCTTTACTCTATCCATATCATTAAGGTCATCTCTACTCTGAGGAATCAGCTTTTCCCCAGTCAAATTTTGAATGTATTCTGACCTGATGAGCTCATCTTCTGGCACTGTATCAGACAATGTTTCATGGTTATTCATAAATTTTTCCAGTAAAATATCAGACAGTGTTTCACTGCTATTCATAAGGTTTTCACTGGCCAATAGTTTGAGAAGTAGATGGCTTCTTCCTCCTTCTCAGTTTGTCTTAGCCCAGAAGCTCCCCTGATACCTGTTCACTATAGGTCACCCTGCTGGCAGTTTGCAACAGCGGTGACATAGCCTGCAGCCTCACAGCAACATGGAAGCCACCACAGGATGACAAACTGACAGACAAGTTCCTAACCCCTCTGCGCCCACTTACCTTCAAGTCCTGGGCTTAAAATAGATCCACCCCCAAGCAAAAAGCAGCCCCTGAGCTTTTTGAGAAAGTGCTCAATAAATCTAGTTGTTATTGTTCCTTAACATTGTTAGAAACTTTCTGAAATTTTGCCATCTTTGCTTACTTTAATTGGTTAATCACCACACCTTATGTAGCTGTGTTCCTTCAGAAATTAAGATGCTTCATTTTTATTAAAAGAAGGACCCAGTGCTTTGTAGAGGAAGGAATGAAGGCCCCAAGGTGACAGCCAGGTCCAGATGCATTCTCAAAAGCTTATGAAAAGCCATGGTGTCCAGCTGGGACTGAAATCTTCTCTTTGAATATTTCCAAAGTAAGAATGAATAGCTTTAAAGCACTGGAAGTCAGCATAGAGGTGAAATTGCAGAAATGGAGTAATCCCTAGAGCCTTGTAAACTGATGAGGCAGCAGATATTGTCTGAAGATGCTGATTACAAAATTCCCTCAGAAAAGCCTCACAAAGCTTTTCAGGAATGAGACAGTAGATGGTGGCAGGTCATATTACAAGCACAGCACTTCCCTGTGTCCCAGTCAAGCAAAAGCACACCCACATCTAGCCACTTGCTGACAAGATAGAACTAAAACAAGCTTGCAAGCTCAAAGACTGATACAGCTGAAGCATCCCAAGAGAGTCATACGGTCTCCTAATTTTTACAAAGCCTTTAAGGTAGAAGTACCGTTTTTGTATAAGCAATAAAATATTTTGGGAAACAAATTAATATATCACACATGCTTCTACTGTAGTTGAAGCCACTGCTGCATTGTAAAGCACTGAAGTGAATAACCTTGCTGCCTTAGGTACAGTTGAATGGCCCTGAAGATGGCATATTCCAGAATTTTAAATTTTCTATTTAGCTGCTGTATATATTTAATCATCAGTCTCTATGATGTGTCATTTGGGAAAAGGCAACTGAGGAAAACAAGGAAGTTATTTTAAAATGCTAACCTACAATACCCAATAGATTGCAACTCTGCCTGACGTTCAACTCTCTTTTGTGCTACCGGTAGAGATCTTGACCTGACAATATGGAGTTAGGTATAAGAAGACACAAACCTTGGTAAAGATAGTTTAAAGACCCTTTTACCATTGGCTCTATTTTAAAGTTTAAAAATATCAATAAATAATGGTACAGTGTGTGTGTGTGTGTATATATATATGAGCTCTGGTAGCATAGTGGCTAAAGTACTTGACTGCTAACCAGAAGGCTGGCGGTTCAAACCCACCAGCCACTCCCCAGAAGGAAGGTTGGGCAATCTACTTCCACAGTGATACTGCCACGGAAATCCAAGAAGGGGTCACTATGAGTTGGGTCCGACTCGATGGCACATAACAACAACAACGTGTGTGTGTGTGTATACACATACATATATAAAAGCTCTGTAACATAGTGCCTAGGGCACTTGACTGCTAACCAGAGGCTGGTGGTTCAAACCTTTCAGTCACTGCTCAGAAGGAAGGTTGGGCAATCTACCTCTGTCGTGAAACTGCTTCAGAAACCCAAGGAGGGGTTGCCTTGAGTCGGGGCTGACTCAATGGCACATAACAACAACAACAAGATATTTATATATAGAAAAGATTCTCATCTCATTCGTTAAAATTTATACAAGGATGGGGAGAAATGGGGCTTCAGCAAATTTACTCCCTCAGAATCTTGTCAAAATGATTCAATTCCCTCATAAACAATCTTGGCTCTGTCTTGTGACTTTTATTGTCATTGATAAAACAAACAGAGAGACACATGGGAGCAAGAAGAGACAGGTAAGAGATAAACTAGAAACTTCTCTAGTATTTAATAACACCTGAACATCCATAAAGTGGATTAGATGCATCACTGGTGTTCTTGAGTATTCATTCTGCCCACTTCTCCCAGCAAAGCCATAGACTTTATTCTTTCATTATGGTCCTGGAAACAGTTACTGCATTGTGCTTAGTTCATTCCAAGTGCTCCAAAGAAGTCTTTATTAAATGAATAAATCAATCATTCATAGAAAGACTTAAATAATCTGCTAAGATTTTAACAGCTTTAAACCTGATAGTTTATTATGTCCTCTGATCTTGATATTTGACTTCAAAGAGCTTAAAATCTCAAAACTACACAGTTGTCACTCCAACTATAGAATCTCTATCAAGTCCCAGCAGCTAAGTATCATTGTACCACCTGCTAACTGATTTTCTTTATCCTTCTTCAGATCCTTACTGAGTTTATCAAAGGCTAAAAATTCCAAATTATACTCATTTTATGACTTAAAAAGAAAATGTTTCATTCCTGTATCTTGTAATTAAACTTTTATACAGAGTTCCTCCTCATTCTTCCATCCCTGAATTAAAAAAAAGAAAAGAAAACATTGCCATTGAGTCAATTCTACCCCACAACAGCCCTATAGGACAGAGTAGAACTGTCCCCATAGGGTTTTCAAAGCTATAAATCTTTAGCTTTAGCTTAAATTTTTGGAAGCACACTGCCTCATCTTTCTTCTGTGGAGCAGCAAAACCACCAACCTTTTGGTAAGCAGCCAAATGTTTTAACCACTGTGCCCCCAAAGCTCCTTCTGATATATAAGCAAGTGCTAAATTCTTCACATAGCAAATGGTTTTCTACTCCATATAAAATTTATAAAATTTATTGTGATATCATTCTACTAATAAATGATTACAGAAACCTACTTAAGCTAAATTTGCTCACAGTTCAGTCTCAGGAAATAAATTCATTAAGAATAACATGTTTTAAGATCTTGTTTTTAACCGCAAAATTTTGCCTGGTTGTCCCAAATGTTAAAATAGGCAATACTTTCCTGAGAACTCTTGTAATAATCATTAGATAATAATTTCCACTATGCTTAAGTTTTATTACACTGCATAAATAACTTTGTCTTTTATAGGCTGGCAATGACTTTAATTCTCCAAATTATGTTGGAAAATAAAGGTTGTACTGAATAGGTTAGGTTTAGCCATGGCATAAATATAACAACAATTCCACTTCACTAGCATTTGAGATTAGAATTTAAATCAAACAGACTCTTTCCTCATTTCCTAACATTACTCCCTTCTCTAAAAAGCTTGAGAAAAGTCTGGAGGAAAGTAATTCTTGGGAAGAAGAGATAAAAAAGAGGAGGATGATAAAACACTGAGAAAACCAGAGAGGAAAAAGGAGCAGTTCAAGAAAGTAAGAAGACTATCAGAAGATCAGATTATATTGCTCAGTCAAATATGATATTATGAACTCTGTGGCATCACATATTATTCATCTTTGAGTCTTGCTTGATCCAAAGACAATGATAACGGCCTTGCCCAACGATACCAAATAATTTACATAGAATAAATGTTGAATTATCAAATATTGTAAAAACATTCAATGTATTTTAAAGTATATCAATTTTAGCTTTCATACATATAAATTCAAAATCTTTTTGTTTTTCAAATTCTTTTTTTTTTAAGTGTCTTTTAGGGTGACCAACCACCCTGTTTGCTTGGGAATGCCTGGTTTAACATTTAAAAGTCGTACATTCTGCTAAATCCCTCAATTCTCAGCCAGCTGGGATGGGCAGTTGTTGCATTTTTAATTCATCACATGTTAAAAATCTACACCTCAACAATTTTCCTTCAGAGACATAGCTAGAGAATAGAGCACACTTACCTGAAATCTCTGTGAGCTATGGATTTTGATGACATTTCTCTCCCACTCATGTTTGAGCCCAGCTGTGTTTTGCCACAAATGCTGAATAGGACTATCACAGGCAGTTTGGAGGCCCACCATTAATTGTCCATGCACTTGGCTAAAGTGATAAAATGTAATCTGCGAAAAAAATAAATAACTTTCAGATAATTATAATAAGGAATTTTCCAAATGTGAAATGTATTTTTAAAATGGTATGCTTTTAAATACCTGACAAGCATTTTGGTTATTAGTTGGAAGGAAAATTCTGCTTCTTAAATTTGAGAAGGTAGAATCCAATCTGGAGACCAATGAGAGGAAATGGGCTGTTAAAAACAACAGTCAGTATGTTAGATTCAGAGGAATTGCTGGCAAATGTATTTAAGACATTAGGCTATAATTCAAATCTAGATCCACTTTAGGCCAGTATATTTTTGTTTAAAAATGAAAAAGACAGCAAGCCAATTACTTCTGCAAATGGTGTAATATTTTTGCTTCATTATTTTCCCCAGTGAAATAACTGGTTGTGACTATACTCCCTATACCACTGTTAGAGGAGTCCTGGTGACACAGTGGTTAAGCACTCAGCTGCTAACAAAAAGGTAAAAAGTTCAAACCTACCAGCTATACCATGGGAGAAAAGATGTGGCGATCTGTTTCCATAAAGATTAAAGCCTAGGAAACCCTATGGGGCCGTTCTATTCCATCACTGTGAGTCAGAATAGACTTGTTGGAACACAATCCAATATATCACATCTAACAGAGATGTTTTGATGCTGAACAGGTTTGAGAAGAGGTTTCAGACTAAGATTAGGAAAAAAGGCTTGATGATATACTTCCAAAAATCAGCCAGTGAAAACCCTAGTGAATCACAACAGCCTGATACATTGTACGTGGCAACACCATGAGTCAGGGCCATGTCAATGGCAGCGAACAACATAAAAAATTACAACCTTATCCAGAGAAAACATTACACTAGGAACTGCCTACCAGAATAAGCAATCCAATGAAAAATCCAAGAGAGATCATTGTGTGCTGTGAGGTTATTCAGAAAGAGTTGGATAAATCATTCTCAAATATTCCCAGGTTTATGTGAGACAACTTTGAGCCCTGATGCTCTCCTGTGAAAGTCAGTGCTGACAATGGCAGTGGATTTTCACATTTAAGAAGCATTAGAATAAATGTTGAACATTCCCTGGGCTTTCATAGATTTCCTCCAATGCTTTTACAAGGGTTAAAGTGTACAATTTGGGAACCAATGTTTTCAGCAACTCTATTTAATTTGCTCCTATCTGTAGAAAGAAATTGAAACATTTATGTTGATGATGATGATTATAAGGACACCTATCTGAGTAATTCAGTGGCATTTTAAAGCTGGATTACATATCTAATGTAATTGTCACAATACTGAGAGAAACGCTAGTAAAATTATGAAACTAAGAAACTTCATCTCTATTCACCAAAGTACATCCTGATTAACAGAAAACAGTGATATCAGTGACCACTTATAAATACAATTAGAAACATAATTGAAATAATTGCAGTAAATGGTAATTGTTCTGGGAATTAACTCCCTAGAATTATTACATAAATATAATTTGGATGAAGAGCTGGTATCATGGTGATACAAGTTGACTATCAATAGTTTTCTCTGGTTTCATGGGCAGTAGGTAAAGCATGTTAAGCACATGAATAATCTAACAGCATAATGTGTCATATAGATATATTGTTTTAAATTTTAAATAACATTATTAGCAATACAAATAGTAATATAATTCAATGGGCCTTGAGTTACTGTCTATAAATATTCAACTAATTAAAGAAAGCATCCCTAATATGTACAAAAACTTACTGTTATTCATGAAGAAAATTAAATTAATTAATCATATTTATGAAAACTTTGGTCTTAAAAATCAGATTTGACAAATTAAGGTATTAAATAGTAAAGTAGCATTTGCAGTAGTATTTTTCAGTGCACACATAAATAAATAATACTTAGATACTTAAATATTTAAACAGATGTTTTACAAGCATAAATCATGTCATTTGGTAAGATTTATTGCATTATAAACTATTTCAGATATTTTTTGAAAGTTAAAGATTAATCTTCAAGTTCAAATAGAAAGTAGGTTTCAATTTCAAAAATAATTGCCTGAAATTCTTTGATATTTGTTTTAGTAAAGTCATTTGGACTGAGGAAAAAAAAAAAAAAAAAAGTGTCCAAAATGTACCTTCTTCAAATAGCAATACCTGTTTTCTATTTTTAATTTCAACTTAGTGGCAATAGCAAACATTAAAAAAAAAAAAAAAA